GGGGGGCGGCGGCCCCCGACGCGGCGCAATTTAAGCCAGGCTCGTTTGGGAACGGCTCCCGGATCCTTCAAGCCTCCACCGGGATCTCAGCAAGCCAGAGACTCGGGGTTACAACCTTATTCTTTATTATTATTATTATTATTATTATTTCTTGACATTTCATAAAACTAAATCTCCATTTAATTCTCATTTTAGCCAAAAATATTTTGAACTAGCTCTGTAATGCCAACAGGAAAAAAAAAATTAATTAATACCAATCCACCAACAAAAAAAAAAAAAAAGAAGAATAAAACACAACCGGTGCGGTCAGAGTCTCTCGAGTGGGACAGGATTCAGCTGGAAACTCAACAACAGCCGAGAAAAAAAAAATAAAAGGGGGGGAGAGAAAATAAATATCCCCATCTCGGAGAGCTCTCAAGCTGCAAGGGGAAAACGGGAGGCCGGTTCCTACCCCCGCGGCCGGGACGCAAGGCTCTGGAGGGGGAAACGAGCTCTTCGCGCCCTCCTCGGCCCCGAATAAAGTGCCAGGCCCACAAGAAAATGATTCCGAAGGGAATTGGGGGGTGGTTCGGAGATCTGAGACCCAAAAAAAAAAAATAAAAAAACATGACGGGGAAAGCGAGGGAAGAACGGGAGAAGATTGCGGGTTAAAGCGGGTTCGACTCTGGGTCCAGCTGGGGTCTGAAGGTGAATCCCAAGAAATCCAGGCACCTCGGCGCAACCGGGATACGAAAGCCGATGATTTTGGAAGGACGATGATGGGAATTTCAAGAAGCCAAGAGCTCCTTGATGTACAGAGCCCCCCCGGGAGCTCGAGGGCTCGAGCTCCGCGTCCGAAGAGAGCCAAGACGCGCCTCGAAACTCAACGGCGGGCGGAGAGCGCGCTGGGAAGCTTCAGGAGTCGACGGGGAAGCGGGAGAGAGGAGCTCCTAGCAGCAAGAGCCGAAGTGAAAACGCCTCCGAGGCGGATCCTTCCCGATTCCAAACAAAACCAGCTTCGGATCGGCGGGAGGTCGAGGGAAGAGGCCTTGTGAGCAAGCAGGTGCAAGAAGACAAGTGCAGCGTTGGATCCCAAAACGGGATCCGAGGGATTCGAGGGGGAAGGAGCGTGGCCGTGTGCAAGGCCGGATCCCGGGGCGAGGCCGGATCCGGCGTGGATAGAGGCGGCCGGCGGGGAGGGCGAGGGACGGCCGGTCAGGCACAGATTTTGATGCGGGTGCCCTTGGCTAAGATGCGAAAGAAGGGGAAGATGCGCTCGTGGAAGGAGGCGTTGAAGGTGTGGATGTGGGTCATGCTCTCGGCGTTGTAGAAGCAGAGTTGGCCCCGCTCGTAGTCCAGGTAGACGCCGAAGCGCCGGGGCCGTTCGCTGGGCGACAGGGCCGTCTGCTCCGTGGCCGTCAACGCCTGGTATTTCTTCCCGTTGGTGCCCACGCACCAAATTTCTCGTTTTTGGTGAGGACCCACGGTTTTCTCTTTGCGACGAGCCGTTTCGCGGGCCGCGCCCACCGCCCAACCTCGTCGGCCTCCCACCTCGACCTCCCAGTAGTGACGGCCGGTGGTGAAACCCTGGGAACCCAGCACGCAATAATCCGAATCGAAACGTTTGGGGTTGTCCGGCAGATCCTGCCGGCGCTCGCCCAGCTTGACGCTGCGTCGGTCCAGGGAGAGGCTGAGGCGCGGGTGGGCCGTGTCGGGGTCCAGGGTGATGTCGGCTGGAAGGGAGACGGGGGCGTTAGGGGCTCGCTGGTCACCTCTATCTCCCCGCGGATCCCAATCCCAAGAGTTTTCCCCTCCTCTTAGATCCCAACCCCAAATCCTCACCCACGTGCGCGCCTGCAGCACCAGTGGCTATCGCGACCGATAGCCCCCACCTTGGGTCTGTACTGGTTTTGACTGGGATAGACTTAAAAGAAACTTAGCTCCCCCCAACAGCTCCAAATTCCCTTCCAGCTCCCCCCAACAGCTCCAAATTCCCTTCCAGCTCCCCCCAACAGCTCCAAATTCCCTTCCAGCTCCCATCCCAGCCCCACACAGAGCTGTCAGCGACTCCAGATCCAGCTCTGCTTTTGGGACGGGCAGAGACAGCCACGTTAGGGGGAGAATGCGGATCGAAGGACGGAGCAAGGCGTGGAGAGGAAGGAGAGAAGAGGGCAGTATTGAGGGAACCGGCAGAAAAAAGGGGTGAAAATCCTGGGACGGCAGAGCTGGAGGGGGAACCCCAAAAAGGCTGGGGATGCACAAGCGATCCCGGACTGGGAGGGTGGGAAAAGCCCAGCGTCCGTTCCCCAGGACCCCGCTGAGAAGCCGCGTCGTCCCCTCGGGCAGAGGGGCCAGGTCCCGCTCACCTTGAGGGACTTTACTGAAGACTTTCTCCATCTTCCTCATCACCACGTCCTGCAGAAAGTAGTTGCGGTATTTTTTCCCCACGTCCACCGGCACCATCTCGGGCTCCTGGAATTTTATGTTCTCGCATCTGGAAAAAAAGCGGGGATTCGGTGCGCTCAGGGGGGAGGTAAAGACACAACAGGAGAAACCAGATGCCCAGCACACAGGCAAAAAAAAAAACCCCAAAACCAAACCCAGAGCGGGGCAGAGATCGGCTGAACCGGTTACGCTGGTACAGCCGGCAGTCCCCACCCTGTCTCGGCTGCAGGAAGCGGCCGAATCTCGGGCAGGGATGGAACCGCGTCCACCCGGCGCCGGGGAGAGCCAGGCCGCGCTCCGGCACGGCTCCGTTACCTGCCGGCGAGCGGCCGGGGGCTGATTTAGAAGAGCGGCTGCTTGTCCGATTTAAAGATGGGGGGAAAAAAAACGATCCCTCCGCGCTTACCGGCGGCTCCTGCTTCCCCGGGCGACGAGTTCTGCGCAGGCAGACCCCGCTCCGCTCCCAAAAAACGGCTGCCAGGTGCGGCGAGGGATTCCCAGATCTCTTCCCTGCCTTCCTCCTCTCCCGCACGTCCCCAGTCATCCCAAAAATCCCATTATTCCCCACCGGGTTTCCCTCGCGTTACCCCACCCCAGCGTGGAAAAGCGCCCACTGCACGGGGTTTAAAACAAAAGCTCGTGGGCTTTTTCCCCCCTCCCCCAAAAGCAATTTACAGCGAGAAGATGGCACCGGCAAGTCACTGACCTGATAAAAGTGCCTTTGATGTCCTGCAAAAGGAGGCAGCCGGGAGGGAAGCGGGGAGAAAGAAAAGATTAGGGAGGACAGGCCGATCCCACCGTGGCTCACGCTAAATCCTCCCAGTAGCCACGGCTCAGCACCGTGCTGAGCTGCAACGAGCCAACCACCCCAACGATCAGGATGAGTCCCCTCCCACGGTCAGGCAATAGGAACATCCCACGGAGAGACAGATCCCATGGATTCACCCCTTGGTAGAGGCTTCTCCCACCAACACGGGCACCCCAGCAAACCCCAAATCTCTTGGGGCGTCCCCTTCTCGTCCCGTTTTTCCCCTCTGATCCCGCAGATCCTGCGGGATCCCTGACAGGAAGGATGGGGAAGGATCCAGCCCGCCAGGTAAGGACGTTCTCCCATGAAGACGACCCTTTTTGAAGCGAGGTCCGCTCCCCTCTTGGCAGCTCTGCTTAATTCCCACCGCTAACGTTATCTCCTCGCCATAAAGCGAGGCCAGAGTTCCTACGGCTGCCGGCGCAGAGCTGAGCGAGGGTTCACGGTCCAGAGATCAACTACGTGAATCATCCCAATTTACAGCTCTTTGGGAAGGTTCAAAAACATCTGGGAGAAGCCGGCATGGCAGCAGGGCTCTGCCCTCCTCCTCAGATCCCCGGTCACGACTTTCCCTCTTCCCATCCCAGGGATAGGAAATAAATAAATAATAAAAAAAAAAAATCAATAAAAGACCTTGAGCAGTTGCAGCCCGTCCTGTTTGCTCTTGTCCTCCGCCTCGGCGATGAGCCGGCTGAGGGCAGCGCTCTGCTCTTCCAGCTGGCTGATGTTGCTGCTCTGACGGGCCAGCAAGCTCTCGTAGCGTTCCTCCAGCTGGTGTAAGAGCAGGACCTGCTCCCCGATGAGGAACTGGTGCAGCACCTCGAAGTCCGACTCGAATTCCTTGATCTCCAGCTTCATCTTGTCCTGCGGAGCGGGGAAGAGGGAGGAAAGGCATCCTCAGCTCGAGTGGCAGACCCAAAGGACATCAGTTTGTTCTCTCTCCCAGGCTACCGATTCCCTCAACGCATTCAGGCACAAAACCCCCTTAATTAAGCTCTAATTCAGCAGGGAAACAGCTTCCAGCCCTTGCGATCCCAACGATTGCAGCAAAGGGACCGCAACGCCTCCGTGAGAGCTCAAATCGGCAAGGCAGAGGGGGAAAAGCTTCCCTGCTCATCCCCCTCACCAGACTTCGGGCCAAGAAACGCTCCCGGCGCTGGTGTTTCAGCGTCCTCCTTAGCCGAGGACTGATTATTTTTTGGCAGGGCGAAAGGTGGAAGGCAGAGAAATGGGAAATGAATAAGCGTGGAAAGGAATCATGCGCAGGATCGTTTGCTGTGCCAGGAGCAGCCGGCTCTTACCCTCAGCTCCGTGATCTTCTCCTCCTCATTGGATTTCTGCTTCAGGACCGCGTCCAGCTTCTTCTTCAGTGGCTCCAGGTGGCTCTGGAGTTTGTTCTGAGAACAAAACGCATCTCAAGCATCCCTGGCTCAGGGAATCCCCTCCTTCCTCTCCTCTTTCGGTCCCTAACTCCATGGCAGGGCTGAGAACAAAACCTCCCGCCCAGATTTCAGCCCGCTTTCCATAAGCGCTCGTTCTGGGAGGTGGTTTTAATTAGAAAGCCCCAAATCCTGCCCCGCGCAGATCGGGGAACATCCGCAGTCACCAAGCGCAGACTGTTCGCTGCGCGGCTCGAGCCATCGCGCACGCGTTCCCGCTGGGTTGGGATCAGGACCCAGAGAGGGATCTGTGCTCCTAAACTCAGCGCAAACCTAGGGCAGGCTTAGACCATCAAGGCTGCGCCTTTCGGTAGCAGCGTGGTCCTAGATCAGCTTAAGGCAACGCCAAAACCACCACCTGCTTCATCAGTTGTGATTCTCTGCGCTGAATAAGCTTGGGCATTTCCAAAACTCCGACCGCTTCTGCCTTGCCGCCCTCCCAAGATGCTTCCTCTGCCCTTCACAAACAGCTCTGCCCTTTAGAAATTAATTTTTCTGCCTCCTCGAGTATTTGCAGCGTCTTTCCCACATCAAAGGAAAGGGGAAAATGGACTGAGCCAACCTAAGAGCAAACAGCGCAGCCGGCCGCGCTCTGACAACCCACCACGAAACGGCCCGACGCAGGGACGAGACACCTCATCGCTGTCCTTCCCCCCCGAACCCCCTCCATCTGCCCCAGCCTCCTCCTGGCAGCCACGGCCAGAGCTCCGGAGAGCTTCCAGCGAGGGGGGATGAGGTGAGACGCAACCACGTGCGGCAGCAACTCCTCCAAGACGCCTTTGGATATTAAAGGAATGAAAAAACCCACTCCTTCCTTCCAGAAGACCCCAAAAAACGAGACGCGACCTCGCGGAGAAAACGAAGCCGCAAGAGACGGGGTAAGCAGCAGCCTGAAGGGCTCAGCGACCATCGTCCCGTCCTCCCGCCGTGCTTCGTTTCAGGGTCCCCGGTCGCGTCCGAGTGGGAAGCGACGCCTTTGAGACAGCAAAGCTGCCCCGTTAAAGCCCCTAACGAAGGGACTCCGCCGCTGGGGATTCGGGGTTGGGCTCTGGCCAAGCGAGGCTGGAGAGCCGCTCGGGAAAGGCTTTGTAAGGTGGGGACTCACCACGACGTGGGTGCTCGTTTCAACCCGCCGCAGCCCGGAGGTGTTTCACCCAAAACCAGCCCGGCGGGACCAGTTGAGCTCACCCGTTGCTCAGCAGGATGATTTCTCCACCACCCAGACGGCTTTGCCTTCATTACTGTCACCGCCTGGTCCCCAAACCTCCCTCCCTGCAGTTAACCAGACCCTCCCCATCCAAACCAACCCAGCCGCCGGCTTCCCGGCCTCCTGCACCCCAACCCACGCAGCCCGTTCCTCTCCCCCCTCCTCTCTCCGCTTGCCGAACCAGCCCGGCGAGACCCACCCGTACGCCGCCTCTAACCACCCAACGCCGTCTGCCTGCCGCCGGCACGACCCAGCCCGCGCCATCGGCTCCTGCCAGCGCCGACAGCTCCGTCTTCCCCCCCAAAAAACCCCAAACCACCCCGTTATCCCGACCCCGAAACCCCGGTACCTTGTAATCCTGCACGACCTCCTCGAGAGGGACGACGCTGTGATGCTTGTGGCTCCGCGACTCCCTGCACACCACGCAGATGGCTTGTTCGTCCACCTCGCAGAAGAGTTTGAGGGGTTCCTGGTGCTTCTCGCACAGATTCGGTGGCCCCTGACCCCCCACCGCTACCAGGACCCCCGGGACCCCCACCGCGGCTCCCGAAACCGAGGGACCGGCGGCGGGCGGCGCGAGGCGCTGGGGGTGCGGGTGCAGCTGGCGGATGATTTGCACCATGTTGGCCAGCTGCAGGTTGGGTCGGAAATTCCTCTGGAAAAAGGTTTTTCGGCATTGCGGGCAGGTGAAGGTCTGGAGGCGTCGAGGCCGCGTGGCCAGGACAGGGGGAGGAGGGGTCTGCACCTCTTCTTCCTCCTCTTCCACCTCCTCCTCTTCCTCCACGTCTTCCTCCATCACGTCCTCGTCATAGTCCTCGTCCCCAAAGTAAAGCTCTCCCCCGACCCCACCGTCCCACATGTCCTCCTCCACGGGATCTTCCCACAGGTCGGCGTCGTCTTCTTCCTCGCTCCACATGTCGTCTTCCTCCTCCTCCGCGCCGCCATCCTCCTCCTCTTCCTCCTGCTCCACATCCAGCTCGTCCTCATCCAGCTCATCCTCCTCATCCTCCAGATCCTCTTCCAGCACGTCGCCCATCCCCACCTCTCCGCCGCCCACCGCCGTGGCCCCGGGGGCCACCTCGTACTCGGCCTCGCCACCCCACAGCTGCGAGATGCAGACGCGGCAAAAATTGTGCCCGCAACCGATGGAAACGGGGTCCACAAAATAGTCCAAGCAGATGGCGCAAATGGCTTCCTCCTGCAGCGTCTCCACCGGGTTCAGCCGCCCGCTGGAGCCCCCCGAAGGGACCCCATCGCCTAAAACCGCTGTGGCTGCCATGGGGAGGGGGCTGAGAGATTCTCCTCTTCCTCACAGAGCCCTGTCGACCCCCAGGTCCTCCCTACGCTGGGGCGGGCACCAGTTTGGACCCAGAGGGGTGGCCGGTCCCCACCCAGGTGCCACCAAGGCCTTGGGGTGTCTCTTCCTCCTTCAGCCCCCCCTTTCCTCCCCTCCAGGGCCTGCCCCTCGCTGCTGCTTCGTTCCAGCACCCCCCCGTCCCCCAAAACCGGGGGCTGGCCCCGGTCCTGCCCTGTCCCGGCGCCCCCCCAGC